AACTTCAGAAAAACCTCAAACTTAGACATTATTCCTACTGAATAACTGAAGTCTTTCTTACCACTGGTGAATACCCAAGACAGCTCAGGGTGGCCAGTCTCTGCAGCTGACTGGTCTGGCTGCACCATGCAGCCCATTCAGCTTGTGGAGAATTTTTAGTTTTCATTCCATCACACCAATATTAGTAATAAAAATAAGACCCACTGCACAGAAGTGAACGCATTTCTTATGTCAACACTTTTCCCCACTCTTATTTTGGTAATGTTTTAAATCATTCTTTAGAGGCGGTCTTTATTGGCTGTACTTTTCAAATGGGAAATAATAAGTACTTGCAACTTAATCAGCTGTATAGCTACAGAGGGTTTTTTTTCCCCTAGTACTTTTATGTCCCATAATGAGCTGGTATTTTATAATGTCTGATGGTAATGTATTCCATATGCCTTCCATCGCTGGGTTAAAGAGCTTTACTCCAGAATCCAAAGCAAGTGGCTGTGTGTATTTAATAAAATTTGAAGTCTTTGCACTGGGTGGGATGTCAGTATGTTGCGTACCTGAAGCATCCTTGGACTGTTCGTGGTGAGGTCTCAGTTCTTTAACATCATGGAAAGATCGCTGGTGTTGCTTCCTGCAAAGCAGGGTACGGTTTCTGGTTCCAATGACAGTCACATTCCCTGCTTTTCTCTGTCCTTGTTTTAAATACCACTAGTTTCCCTCCAGGTCTTGGGACGAGCTAAAACTGAGAGGAATTCAACCATGAATGTCAAGATAGCCAAATGAGTGGTCTGCTCATAATTCCTTGAGGCATCTCCTCTAATGCCTTGCGCAGAACAGAAGTCCTGTTGTGGGGGTACTTAGGAGTTGCTGTAGTCTTGGAGTCCTAACAGGAATGAAAAATAATCTTTTTATGGTTTCTTGCTAAAATACTCAAACTGCTCTGGTTGGGTTCAGCATTTGAAAAACATTTTCTGGTATGAGACTCTCCTAGATGTTCTGGCATATTTGCCTCCACTCTGATGGAGACAACAATAAGTTTTTGGCAGGATTTAGATTTGTGTTTCAGGTCACAAAGAATTATCATTACCATTTTATCTGCATGCCTGTCAGCTTCAGTATAATATCACAGGCCTCTGTGAAAACTCATCTGTTCCCTTTGGGTATAGTTAAAACTGAAGAAAAATGAGAATGTGAATCTCACGCAGTCTTCTAAATCTTGAATGGGAGGTCTGTGAGACAGATTGCAGAACATAATTTTCCAGAACTGCTGATGCATTTACTGAAAATAGTGCTTCCACTGGTCACTGATAGGTTACCTCGTGGGGACGCTATGGTTATGTCATAATTTCTGGTCTTTGATCCTTAGCCTAAAGTCTGAATTGCCCCATTCCTCCTGTAAGCTTGAAAGAAAAAGGTCATTTGCCATCTCATTGGATTATTTTTAGGCCGTAAAAAAGTCAGGTACACTTCTGAGCCCTTTCTTTGTTCTCTGCTCCCCGGTGTGTCAGGGATGAGCCCTCTTGCAGGAGCTGCTTTGTGGGGCAGTCTGAAATCCAACCACCTGCTGCTTTCCTCCCTGAGCCAGCATTAGGATCGCTTCACACTGTTTCCAAGTCCCATCCCACTTCTGTTGTGGTAGAGTTTGCTGTCATTTAAATGTTTTCTGCTTTTATGTCCTGGCAGCAAATATCTGAGTTCTTTAAAGCTGTAGCCTGTACAAGCTTATCTTTCAGCAGGTAAGGCTGCTTCTTGTCAAACAGCTTTTGCTTATGGTTACCTGTGAATCTTCTGTGGATTTAGGAATCTGGTTTCACAACTAGTTGGTATGTTCTTGAATAACCTCTACTTGAAATAAAAATAAGATAGTGGCTTTTAACCCCGCCCCCCCTCACCCCCACTTGCATGATAATAGTACACTGTGTGATCCTGTCAGATCACAGTGATAACAACCCTTTAAGCAGGAAGAAAACTGAAATGTGAGCAGATTGCATCTCGGGCAATAACATGTGATCCAATGTTAAACATGGGTTTTTCAAGTTATAGCATCACAGAATCATGGAAGAGCCCAGGTTGGAAGGGACCTCGAATGATCATCTGGTCTAACCAGATGGTTGGTTATGGAGTGAAGTAGACAAGAATAGGAAGAGAGAAACGAATTTGCTTTAATGAAATAGGCTCAGTATTTCTTTATGTTCTGATCAGGAACCTTCTAGCTTTTCTGTAGCAAGGGGTAGTACTTGCTGGGAAAAAGCACCTTAAATCCTTAGAGTTTGAAGGGACTGTGTAATTTTTTTTAATATATTTTTAGGAATAACTGAAGAGTCTTGCCCTGGTAATTTTCCCATCAAATCTGGATTTTGAGAGAAAGTACATTTCGTACCTAGCATGAATACTTCTAGGGATAGCTCTGTTCTCGCTTTTCTAGTAAACATTTACTGATTGTTACTGTGACTTGGGACTTGCAACCTGTGTGAATGTATATGAAATTTGAAGAACTGCCTTTTAGAGACTTCTGAGTAGTTTTACAGACACAGTTAGACCTAACTTAATGTTACTAGTCCAATAGAGTCTGGTCCTAGAAAGCAGGTTTCTCAGGCTTCTGATTTTTTTTTTTTTCTTTGGACCTGTAACTTTTCTGAAGACTAATTTGTCAGTACCCTTTGTGCAGTGTGGGCACCCAGTGTGGTGGTTGTTTTACCACTAGACTAGACGGGGTAATGCTACTTCTTTGTTGCTCCTAAATGCTGTAGTGTTTCTTGCAACCCTCTTGGCTGTAGCACTATAGTGAGTGCTCATCTTTGTTATTCTCCATAATCCTGAGAACTTCTGAGGTTCGATGTTTTCCAGGACACAGGTCTGCCCATATTAAGTGAGAATTATGCACTTTGTTTCTCAATGGGTAAAGTTGCATTCGGCTGTATTAAAATGCTAAATGACCTTGGCTTCCCAAGGGATTGAGGTTGTACTTTGCAATTCTAAGGGGTGCAGTCAGCAGTGGGTTGTGCTTTTCCAGTTAAGTTAGAGAGTATACAGCCAGAAACAGGCCCTGGAATATGACTGTAAAACATGATTTTTGAGGTAAAATTGCCCACCCCCTTGACAGCTAATCCTTATGCAACCATACTATTAAGACTTACCAAGCACTTTCTACTCTGTTACACAGATGTTATTGTTTCTGTGTGTGGTTAATTCTTTAATCAGTGCTTTGCGGCATGGAGTCCATTGTTCTGCACAGGCTAGGTAAATTATCAGTTACTTCAGCAACCACATTTTTCATATTCTAAATGTAAACTTTGATTCAGCTTTTGTGTTTAAGGCTGAGTTGCTCTATTTTACTCACTTGTATTTCCTATCAGTCTTTGTGTAGCTCTGTATAGAGTGGATGTCCCCTGTTTCCCTGTTGGGCAAAGTGTTTATCCACAGCTTCTGTTGTTGGATTTGAATTTACTTGGCAGTGAAATGACTGCTTTCTCGGGGCTCCTATTTTTGTATTAGATGCTGATGCCCTGTGGGCATTAAAGTTTCAGTCTTTTAGCTTCAAGCAACAGTGATGTTCCTGCATATCCAAACTGGCAGACATTGGTAGGCTAAATGCTGGTGTTTATTAGAGCAGAGCAAGGCTTGGGGGTAACTGTGCCAAGTCTTGGCTCATTAAACCAGCAGGAAGATTCAAGAAGTCTGCTTTTAAAGATAAGGGCAAGCATTGGCGCAGGGCGTAGGTGTGGATGAGGGAATGGCAGTGGGTAGGCCATGTGGTAGGTGTCTTCTGTCTTTCTATAGATAATTTGAAGGCAAGAGCAGACTCATTGAGACAAATGAGCTGTCATACTAGCAGGAGTAATAGCAAGTTGGACTAATAATGTGCAGCACTTGCCAGTGCTACAATTTAATTGGCACTGGTCTGAAATACTGGGGTTAGAAGACAGGAACAACTTTCTGCTTTTCTGGAGTCCTAACTAGTTACTAATTCCCTGATTTTTAAGAATTTTGGTAAAGATAAATGTAGGAAAATGAGCGATGTATCTTCTATCATGATGAGGAAGCTACTTGGAATTAACATAGCCTTTGGTTCATTCATCCAGAGGAGCTCCTCTCCAAAGTTTCACCCTGGTGTTCTTACAGAAATATTGAACTGGTGTAACCTGGTGTGGATAAATACTTCAGATTAGAGTGAGTAAACTGTGCTTCTTCCTATTTATATCCTAAATGAACGTGGTCCTGTAAGAGCAGAGATGAGAGATGCTTGTCTTTGTGTTGCCATTGTTAATGATGGTTTCTATAGAGTAGAATCTTATTAATAGATTAGATTAGTGGAGTCTGAGCCATTTAAAGTAATTTAACAGATTTGGTCTAATTGGTAGTCTTGCTAATAATCTGAATTATTATAAATAGCTAATTCACTGTAATGCAGACAGAAGAACTTGACTCTTTCCAGAGCTCTACTCAGTCTGAAGCAGAGTCTTTGAGGGGTTTCATCTAAGTTTGATCTGTTTACATTGTGGCTACCTCTGCTGTGGTGTTAGACTGAGCAGGGTGGGCTGGAGAGAGTAGGAACTATATTCTTTGGGAAGCTATTGAAGCTATTCAAACCATGGCCTTGAGGATGGCCAGAAGAGACATGGAAGTGCAAAGGTGCAGGCCAGCGTACAGTGTATCACTCCTTTTACGATTACCAAACAGTCAACGTGAACTCAACAGTAACCCAATTACTGCTGACAGTTAACATTTGATTTCCAGGTCCCATAGAGAAGACTGGTGCATTAACTGGTACTTCTGTGACTATTGCAGATTATTTAATGAGGTCTGCTCTCCATGATTCCAACCTGTCATATACTTCTCCCTATGAAAGAAACCTGTACTGAAGCTAAGTTACCTGCTTGCATGGTTTTGAAGTTGTGTTTTTTTTGTCGCACTGCATTCTGCATCTTGAAAACTTGCTGATAAAGTCTCATTAAAAGAGGTAAAGATTCTCTGTGATTAAGTAGATGCTTTTGTTTCTATTTCAGGAAAGCCCCACAGCATTGGCAGCTCCGAACGGATTCAGCTCTCAGGAATGTACAATGTTCGCAAAGGGAAAATACATTTGCCAGTCAACAGATGGACGAGACGCCAAGCTATCCTTTGTGGAACATGCCTAATTGTCTCATCAGTAAAAGAAAGCCAGACTGGAAAGATGCATGTCCTCCCTTTAATTGGTGGAAAAGTAAGAAATTTTATTTTATGTATTTGCTTGCTTAAACCTTACTTCTTTACACAGAGAAAATTGCATTAAATTATGGTGATTCTGACTCCCCAAAAGATTGTTTCTGTAAATGGGTTTATCAAAGTATATAAATGACTTTTGATTATGGTCAGAGCCACGTTTAACAATTTACGATGTGTGGATTAAAATGCTAAAGAAAAGCAAGGAAACAAATTCTAGGTTTTGTGTGTGCAGTGTTAAATGTTATATGTGCAGCAGTACACCTAGCTAAATCTGTACCATGCCTCCTCACTGAGGTTTTATCCATGCTGAGTTACTCTTAAGAACTGAAACTTAACCGATAAGGGCATGGGCTTATTTTGAACATTAGGGTTTTTTCTGAGTGTTTAGCATTGTATGAATAGTGATCTGTTGTAAGTGAACAGCAACAAACATTTTTACTTGTAAAAAGCTGAAACTAGACTTTTTTCTGATTAATTACATCTGAAACCCAGGAGGTCCAGTCTGAACACAAGGAACATTTCCCTCCCCGTGAGGGTGACCAAGCACTGGCACAGGTTTCCCAAAGAGGTTGTGGAATCTCCCTCCTTAAAGATACTTAAAAGCCATCTGGACACAGTCCTGGTCATCTGGCTCCAGGTGGCCCTGCTTGAGCCAGGGGATTTGGACCTGAGATCTCCAGAGGTCCCTTCCCACCTCAACTATACTGTGATTCCGTGAAAGTTTAGTGAGACAGATTACGTTACTATTTCAACCTAGATAGTGTTTCAGAACACTATTACTGACTTGATTAGCCAATGGGAAGAGAATCATCATCTTGAGAGTGAACTTAGACCAGAAACTAATGCTCCTTTACCTTCCATAGTGGTAAGTTTATTTCTTAAGAAACACTGGGAGAGAAACAGGCTTCACAATCTTGTATATGCAGACTGGAGTTGATTTATTAATATTCTATGCTAGCAATGTGGAAAGTAGTGCTGCCTTCTAGGAGCTGTTTTTCCTATCTCCTTTCATAATTCTTCAACTCTTCCCTGGAGGTACTGAAGTAGAGACACTGTCCTCTTTTAGCAACAGTGGGTGAACTCAGAGTGAATTGTGTTCCTGGCTGTAGCACACCATAGAGGACAGTATTGAGGTCCCCACTGGCCTTCTCTTTGAGATGAAAAAAAATTTTTTTTTTTTTAATTTATAAAGAGAAGAGATTGTGTACCTTTTAAAAACTTGTTTAAAATGGAATTTCTAAGTTGTTTTTGCACAGAAATGCCTTGTGTATTGTAAAACATGCAGACTGTGTTAAGCAGAAAGTTGACAACAAATTTTAAAAGAAAAGGAGAACCAAGCTGAGAAAAATGTGCTGAGAGCTTCTGCTGACAAAGCTTGGGAGGAGGATGCTTGGCACAAAACTAAGTGTTTTTTAAATTATCACTCAAAAAATATTCTTCCTCAACCCCATAAATACTCTGCACTTCCTGGTTCTCAAAGGCTTTCCAGAATGCAGTGCTGAGACACTGAGACCATAAGTTGTGTGGGTCTTCTCGTGTATGGTAGCAGAATGATGTATTCTGGGTGTTTTTTAGCAAGTTGAGAAATGCCAAAGAATTTAATTGGGCTGTAAGAGAAGCATTTTGTTAAGACTGTTTTTAATAACCAGGAGTATAAATTGTACTTATCTAGGTCGATAAAGACAGCCTTAAATGTGTTTCACTGGGAACCTTTTATGGTGCTCAGTCTCTCTTAAAATGTTGATGTGCTTGGTGTTTTTCTCTTTTGGATCCTTCATCCTTCTGCTGTCATTCCCTGCCTGTGTAGATTTCATGAATATTTGACAGCCAAGATCCAGCTTGAATGTTTGAGAGGGCTAGCCCAGCTCTACTTGATGAGCTTCTCTTAGGTACACTTTAATTTTGCCCTGGGGAGTTCTGCAAAGAGGCTTTTCATTCTCGTTCACTAACAGTTTTGTGTGTCTACTGTAGGTGGAAGAAGTGAAAAAGCACCAGCACTGTTTAGCATTTAGCTCCTCTGGACCTCAAAGCCAGACCTACTACATTTGTTTCGATAACTTCACTGAATATTTGCGATGGCTTCGACAAGCATCAAAGGTGAGAATAATGCTAATTCCTGCCTGAATGGGATGTTTGTAGCATTTGCCCCAACTCTTGTCTCCTTCATGCAGCAATATAGTACCTCTTCTGGCTTCATTGTCATGAACTGCTGTTGCTGCTGTTAGTGTTGCATCAAAAAAAAAATCTATTTGAGAGCTCTTGGTAACAGGCAATAGGGAGGTGAATTTTTCTGCATTTATACTGAGACTTCTTTTTACCATGGTTGTGTAAGCAAAGTGTTGGAATTTCTCCCTTTTCCAATCCTGATCTAGCTGGATGGATGGAGTAAGATCATTAGAACTAAAAGGACAACAAATATAACTCTCAAAATTTCAGTTTAAGAAGCTTTGTTTCAGTGTTAATAAAATGTAAAATAGCATCAGTTTTTTAATTCATTCTTTACACGGAGCCTAAAGGTATAAAACTGCTAGAATTAAGGAATTTTTTTCTTGCTTGGAAATGTTGCTGAATCTCTTTAGTTTTATAAGTACTTGATTTTTGTTTTTTTAATAAGCAATTATTTTATGTCAGTAAAAAGAAATAATTGCTAACTGAAGCCTTCAGAAACTAAATTTTATACTGTCTTTAGAGCGCAATTTATTTTGTTAATCTAGGTCCTGCGTTATTTTGTTTGACTCTTCAGTTCCTCTTTGTGTTGCTGCTACTTGTTTTATCTCTTAATCCCTGTCACTTTTCTTTTGATAAATACTCTCTAAAGTAATATATGGATGTTTTGTATTTTTATATTTTTAACATTCAAGTTCTTTTGCTGGGCTCTCAGCACTCTTTCCTTGGTTTTCTAGTTGGGCCTAAACTGTCCATTAGTTTTATACTTGATAGGACTCTCCATGCTCTTTACTATATTAAAGCAACTTGGTTTTATGTAGTACTACTTGAAGATACTTATGGTACACTAGATCACTTCTGTCTTTTTAGATTGCAATAATATATTATCCAGCCTATTGTCAGTGGTACAGCCTGGGTTGTGGCTTTTCTAAGAAGTTTGATTATTATGTCAAACTTTGTTCGACCACTAACTATTGCACCTCCCAACATATGTGTCATTTAAAATGTCCTTCAGTTTTTTTCTAGTAAGTTCTAAAATTCTTTTTAAAGATGCTGTTCTGGCATCCCTGCTCAGGTCTGTTAAGCCTCAAGGTAAAAATCCCCAAGGCATGTTTTGTGAGATGGTGAGGTATGGTCTGTCAGGTTTTTGAGTACTTGTGGCTTTTGTGATTCTCTCTGGGAGAGTAGCGCCCTTTCATCTCCAGAGGCTTTGACATCAGATAAATGAAAAGCAAATCTAATGAGTGAGAAAAACAGTGGAAAACAATGAACTTCAGAAGTAGAGATAAATGGCCAGAAAGCCCCTCTGAATTACTGGCAGCGTAAGCTCATTCTGTGCCATGCTGTGCTTCTCTCTTTCTCGCTGGTTCACCCAAATGACTAACAGCATCGGGACTATAGCCAGCATGAGAACATATCCCCATGCACTCATGATAACCTCCCATTTTTCTTATGTAAGAGTAGAAAGAAAATACATAGTTGCAAGTGTCTTTTTCAGACTGTCAGAACTGAAGAAACTCACTATGCTTTCTTTTGTTGATGAAACATGCTTCAAGGAAAAAATAAATGATGCTTCGTTTTCCTCAGCTCCCCACCCCCAGCCTCAAAAATTGAGACTTTGGTATTCTGGATTCCTGGATTTTGAAACAGTACTTTGCTGCTTCAAGTTGCTTTTTTAATGTTTGGGTTTTCTATACTTGGAAAAACAGGGACAAGCATGATTGTATGCAAGGCAGTTGTGTGGGAAGTACTGTGCAGTAACTGTTTCTGAAGAAGAGAAACAGAGAAACTGGTAATGCTGCAAAAGTAACTCAAGTTTCCTCCAGCTGATATTCGCGTCTAAGTGCTTAATTGTAAGGTACATCATCCCTGATTTACATTTACAAATAAATGAGAAAAAGTTTGATCTTCAGCTCTGCAGTTCAGGCAAACTAGCGTTCTCATGCAGGAAAAAACCCTCACCATTTATATAAGGTACTCTGCCTCAGGTGTTTGGAAGCTACTCAGATTCAGAGAAATTGAAATATTCTTGCTAACCAAGAAAATACCATGTAAAGCACGGCATGTATGAAGGCAAGCACATTTAGGAAGGGAGATGTTCTGGCACTCTGAGCTTCTAGTTGCTGGTTATGGGCTAGGTCACATGATGCTTTCAGATTCTCTTTAATCATGCTGTTGTATATTATACTTGAGCTTTTGTGAATTATTATGAATAACATTTAAGATTGTATTTTAATTATAGATGTTATTTAATAGCATTTGTTTTGAAACTGACATTCTTGTTAATTTATGTTTAGGTGTAGTTTTTCTGCAGTCCTTCATGCTCCTGATGCATGCTGCTGAAGACTGAGTTTTCTGATACAAGTGTTATGAAAGATTTAGTTAGACATTTTAATGCAGAAGGAGATCCCTGGCAAAATATTCCATTAAAATTGCTCAATTCAGTTTTTAACTATGAAAAGAATTTTCATGTCTGTCTTCTGTATACTTCAAAAGACCTGGAAGATGATGTTATTTTAACTTTTAAATAACAAGCCTAATCTTGAAAGGAGACTTTGCAAAGAATGCTTGCTCTGCAGTCTTTCTCCCCACAGAATATTGGCAATGTTGACTTTTTACTGGTGTTCCAGAATGAGACAAATCCTAGCACATTACTCCTGCAATAAATATGTGGATGCTACACAACATTTGAATTCATGTTTGCAGAGACTTGGGCTCAATTTGATGAAAAATGAGCATTGCTCCTGTATAATCTGATTCATTCTAACAGTGAAATCTGTCTTAGCCAAGACAGCTCTTGTGCTCTGCCCCAGAAGTTTAGTAAATTTTTTGAAGGAATTTGTGAATAGGTGTTAGGATTGTTTTTCCTATACATGTGTGTCCTGAGGTGAACAGAAATCTTGTTTCCAGGATGAAATGGAATTACTGCATGAATACTGACCTAAATATCAAACTTGGTGACATACTTACTCCAAATAGGTCACTTTTAGATATGCTGATTTAGGCTCAAACAGAATATTTTTAAAAGCTGGAAATGTGGCTTGTTCGTTAATATTGATAGCTCTATACCACAGTGCATTTCTTTCCATTTACTTTCCAAATATTGGAGTCCTAATTAAGGAAGCTCAAAAGGAAAACAACAAATTTGGTCCTTTGTGATCTAATATGTTCGTTCTGTTGCCAAATGTTGAAAAATAAGCTTATGCAACTGTGAGGGAGAGCAAAGGGGGAAGAAAGGGACATCTTCATGGCTTTAAAGAATTTGTCTGTATAAAGTTGACATGATGGTTTTGGAACCCACACAATTACTTGCAGAGTGATTCTGATCTGCCACTGTTTACTACTTGAATATCAAATACAGAAGGACAGGCAAAGAATATGCAGTTAACAGTGAAGAGGACATGATGAGGGCTTTCCTCATTTGCCACTTCCAAAACCTGAAAATCTACACTCTTAATGTAGCAGAAGAGAGAGAGGTTTTATGTATAAGTTGTTACTGAGCGGTGGAACTTTCTGTGCGAAGCTTATATTTGGGGTGTGGTGGCAAGCTGCTGCTGTTTGACACTTCTCACAGCTAAACTTAATTTAACATTTTTCAACATGTGAAATTGCTGTGTAAGTGTTAACTACTACACAAACCATGACATGGATGGTTTGGCTAGAGTAAAAAGGGTTATCAGTTCTCCATGTTCCAAGGCATGCAGTTAAAATGGGATGTCAACATCTGCCTCAGCATTGCAGAGCTTAAGCAGGGACAGAATTTTATCTTCTTGGAAATAGCATGCATCACTGGGCATGCTAGGACGGGTTATCTGACCCTACAGGACTTCTCCCCTCTCGGGTTTAGGAGAGCAGGAAGTGTGTCGACAGCTTCATGCGACAATTATTTCCTGCTTTAGTGCTCAGTTCAACTGGGTAGGTAGAGGAAAAGGTGATGACAGACAAGGGCTATAAATAATGCATGACTGCTTCCCATAAACTGCCTGTGCGTGGCCACACTATATGTGTCAGTAGGCAGAGATGTACAGGCACACAGCCGTATGTGTGTGCGCACTATTGGCCTCTCCCCAAGCTGAGTTGCACAGCTGTGGCTGGAGAGACAGCAGGTTTCTGGGGAACAAGCTGTTGTGTGGAGCTTAGGTGCCAGAGTGGATTTACACCTATACACAAAAGAACCCTCCTGTTTAAAACACGAGGAATATACAAAAAGATCATTGATTTAAAAACTATCAAACTGAAGAGTTTTCTCCTGTGTGCCTTTGTATTTTCCCTTCCCTTTTTCAGCCACCTTTGTCTTAAAGTCTACAGTTGAAATGCATGTGGTGTTCTGGATGACCCTAGCCTGATGTGAAAAAGGAGGGACTAAATTAGGATGTCTGTACGTGATGTTTAAAAAAAGCTAAAACCAGCAAGAATAGCAAATTCAAGGGAGAAGGGCATGCTGCCATATTGGTCTTACTCCTTTAATGTCAGTGCAGAATGCTCTCTTCACACATTTTTTTGCATTGTGAAACTATCAGAAAATAACAGCAGATTTTAATTTAGTTTATGCTATACAAGTAAGGAATGCAGGAGCCTCTACAGCAGTAGTCTCCATCTTTCCTCAACTTGTATAGAGACCTACCTGAAACAGCAGTACAAAATTCAATGTTTTAGCTTTTTTTCTCTAAAGTCACCTAGTTCTGACCAGCTGTCTCTGTCTTCGAGCTATTTTTTCAGTACAGGTTTGACAGTTGTCTTTGAAGACTACGTTGTAAAGTGTGAGTTTGAACCGTGTGAAAAGGACAAAGCTTATCTATAACAGGATTTTTATTTCTGCTGAGGAAAACTGCTCTGAGTTCTGCCTGCACACAAGCTTGGTGTTACAGGCTGTATTTATATAAATAAATTCTATAGAATTAAAAAATGAATTCCTGAACTTGTTTGCAGTT